TGGCCAGGACGCCAGCGCTCTGATGCCTCAGTCTTTCTCTAACATTCTGTTACAGGCTTGTGGACTCTGATTTTCATCTGATTTTCTATAGAGTTTAAACCATCTTTGAAAAGTAATAATTACAGCTTATGATCACCAATTTTTGTCATTTGCATGACTTTATGCAATGATTTTTATAATATGACAAAAAAGATGGGAGTAAGTATATTTCATATATTTGCTTTTCATTAATAGAGAATACCATGCAGGACAAATTTAACATAATAGATATGAATTTATATTCCTGCTGACAAGTTGAATAGATTTTTCTAGTGGCACACTATAAGTTGGTATTGAATGCTATTAATGAATTTAATTTGTGATCTTTAATTCAAAAGTAAATGTTAAGTTTCAATTTTTGCAAATAATATGTCAAATGTTAATTAAAATTAATTTAAAATGAAAAATACTGAGCTATGAAATGTAAATTTCAGAAGTGACCTATTTGCTTACTATATGTATAGCCATTTATGACATCAAATATTTCCAATGCTTTATCCGTCTTTGCGTCTAATGTAACTCAGCATGTTTCTTTCTTTTTTGCCTTCAAGTAATTATAAGCGTTGCACTAATGTTGAATGCCAGTTCTTTTGTGAAATTAAAATATTTAAATAAATTCCAAGGCACATGGAGATGTATCTTAAATTAGGTCACACATAATTCTGCTGCAAACGATGAAGGAAATGCACTGAGAACTAAGTTTAGAGCAGTGGCTCTGGGACTTTGCTGCACATCAGAATCATTTGGAAACTAAGAATCCAAATGCCAAGGCCACATTCCACATCATATAAATCAGAAGCTCCATGGACCCAGGCTCAGCATTATTTACTACATTATTATACTACACACTAATTTTAATGTGCATCCAAGTTTGAGAATCAGTGCTTTTAGAAAGGATTAGGCAAGAATGATAGCAGGTGGAGTGTAGCATAGTGTACAAAACATGGCTTGAGAACCAGCCCTGGGACCAAAGTAAGTTATGAATTCTCTCTAAATATCAACTTTTAAGCTGAATAGTGGGTAACTTCTTAAAGATTTTAAAGTACTAGTAAATGTAGAGTTCCTGGAAGGTTCCATTTCCTTTATGAAGTGTGCCCATAATGATTTCTACCTTGGTTTACATACCAGAAAAGTTTCTTCCACACTTGAAAAAAAAATTCCAAAAAACATCGGCATGTTTTGTAATGTTCTACTATAATACTCTCCATACTTAAGATGTTTGCTGGAAAATACAAAATGACTTGAGGCTGTTTAACTTGGTTAACAGTTATGCTATGTGAGATTGTCCAGATTCTCTTCAGTTTCACCTACCTGCTTAGCTCATGTTGCCAAAAAATTAGCAGAAAAACCCCCCACAAGATTTCCATCTATGGGTGTTAATCACGTTTTTAGTACCAACTCAATATCCACTGGTCTTTCTGAAAAACTAGGTTTTGTTTTAACAGGAAAGATCTGCCATCTGGGGGTTCATAGTGGTAATGACAGGCTGTGTAGTTGCTTCAGAGAGAAAAAGGAAGCTCTACATACAGTCCAACCCAATGCAAGGACCTGTCGCTTTATGGCCGCCCACAAAGGGCGGACACTACAGCAAGCTTCTAATATGTCTTACACTGGCATTTTCTCTCTTTATAACAAAGGAGAACTTATCTAACCAAGTAACTCTAAATGTTTTATAACTAATATCTTTCTAAAAAGTATAACCTGACATCTTTTCTAACAAGAATGAAAGTTTTTTACTGACATCTTACAGAATAATAATTTGATATGTAAAATGGTCAAAAAGGATATGTCTGGGATTCCACTATTTGTAGCATTCTTCACACCGTTGTAATTTTTAAAAAATTCACCATGTAAAAAAGATTCATTTGAAGTCCATCTGATAAGTACTACTTGTTTGTACTAAATTGTACCTTTTCAGTTAGATAATTTTATCTTTTAGTAACTGGCTTAGAAGACAGTAAATAAGCTAGTCCTGATTTTAATTCTATTGCAACAATTTAAGGAAATGTCCATAAAGTTAAATGCCAATAAGACAACTCCTCTATTTCCTGTCTTTTGCTAATGGCCTCACACTCAAATCATTCTTCTCTCCTTAGAATGGGCAGTCGAATCCACGTCTACCCAAATGGGTCCCTGTTTATTGGATCAATAACAGAAAAAGATGGTGGTGACTACTTGTGTGTGGCAAGAAACAAAATAGGGGATGATCTGATACTGATGCATGTTAGCCTAAAGCTGAGACCTGCCAAAATTGATCACAAGCAACATTTTAAAATGCATGTGTTTCATGGGAAAGACTTCCAAATTGATTGCAAGGCTTCTGGCTCACCAGTGCCCCAGATATCCTGGAGTTTGCCCGATGGAACGGTGATAAATAATGCAATGCAAGCTGATGACAGCAGGTGGCGTACCAGGAGGTATACTCTTTTCGACAATGGAACCTTGTACTTCAACAGGGTTGGGGTAGCAGAGGAAGGGGATTATACTTGCTATGCCCAGAACCCTGTAGGGAAGGATGAAATGAAGGTCCACCTAACGGTCATAACTGCTGCCCCACGGATCAAGCAGGGTTTCAAGGCCAAACCAAGAGTCAGGGCTGGAGACACAGCCACCTTTGACTGTGAGGTTGTTGGGGAACCCAAACCAAAAGTATTTTGGCTGCTGCCTTCCGGTGATATGATTTTATTCTCAAAAAATAGGTACACATTTCATGCCAATGGGTCTTTGTCCATCAACAACGTCAAACTGCTCGATTCTGGAGAGTATGTGTGTGTGGCCCAGAATCCCAGTGGGGATGACACCAAAATGTATAAGCTGGAAGTTCTCTCCAGGCCCCCGTTAATCAATGGTCTGTATACCAACAAAACTGTCATCAAAGCCACCGCCGTGAGGCATTCCAAAAAGCGCTTTGATTGCAGAGCTGAAGGGACACCATCTCCCCAAGTCACGTGGATCATGCCAGACAACATTTTCCTCACCGCCCCATACCATGGAAGCAGAATCACGGTCCATAAAAATGGAACCTTGGAGATTAGGAACGTGAGGCATTCAGATTCAGCCGAGTTTACCTGCGTGGCTCAGAATGAAGGAGGAGAGAGTGTGCTGGTAGTACAGCTGGAAGTACTGGAAATGCTGAGAAGACCAACATTCAGAAATCCATCTAATGAAAAAATATTTGCCCAGGTTGGGAAGCCCACAGCATTGAACTGCTCTGCTGATGGAAACCCACTACCTGAAATAATCTGGATTTTACCGAATGGCACACGGTTTTCCAGGGGACCACACAGCCCTCAGCACCTGACAGCAAGCAGCGGTTCTTTAGTGATTTATAAAACAACTCGGGATGACGCAGGAAAATACCGGTGTGGGGCAAGAAACAAAGTGGGCTATATTGAGAAATTAATTGTATTAGAAATTGGCCAGAAGCCAGTTATTCTTACCAATGCATTGGGAACAGTGTATGGCATCAGTGGGGACTCTCTCTCATTGCACTGTGTGTCAGATGGAAGCCCTAAGCCAGATATCAAGTGGACTGTACCAAGTGGTCATATAATAGACAGACCTCAAATTAGTGGGAAATATATATTGCATGAAAATGGCACTTTAGTCATCAAAGAAGCAACAGCTTATGACAGAGGAAACTATATCTGTAAGGCTCAAAACAGTGTTGGCCATGCACTGGTTACTGTTCCAGTATTGGTTGTAGCCTACCCTCCCCGAATTACAAATCGCCCACCCAGGAGCATCCTCACAAGGACAGGGGCAGCTGTTGAGCTTCATTGTGTGGCCCTGGGCGTCCCCAAGCCGGAAATCACATGGGAGATGCCTGACCACTCCCTGCTGTCAATGGCAAATAGAGGGAGGACACATGGAACTGAGCTTTTCCACCCACAAGGCACCCTAGTCATTCAGAACCCTCAGAGCTCAGACTCCGGGATATACAAGTGCACAGCAAAGAACACACTTGGTAGTGATTCTGCAACAACTTATATGCAAGTGATCTGACATAAAATAACATTTCTTGAATAGTCAACATCTGGACAGTTTACTTTTTTGGAAGAAGTTTAATCAAAGGCAGCGATAGGCATGTAAATGAATTTAAATACATTTACAATATTAAATTTATCATGGACATGCAAAAAAAGACTTGTAAATATATGCATTATGAATTGATACTGATTTCTTTAATGGATCTCAAGACAAATTTTTAACTTAAGGCACTTTTATTTTGCCAACAAATAACAATGAACATTTAGAGAAAACTATCCACTATAAAACAACAAATGGCTAATGTACCTGAATTCATTAAATTGACTTTTTTTTTTTTTAAATTACCAGTTCCCTAGTGTCCACCTTCTGTCAATGTTATGGGCATGGCACTGACAACAGACAATGGAAAAGATTAAATTTTCAGTCTTGATGTAAATTTGCCATTTTGATGTATAATGTATAAATATTTTGTGGTTGGTTTATAAATATTTTACTAAAGCCTACAGAAAATAAGCACTTAACTGTTTTGATGATGATTTACTGTCTTGTGCACACTGAAGTTTTTCATAGATGGGGAATACAAGGATGTTTTAATGACTGAATTTAAAAAGAAATGCAGGCTAACTTTTCCAACATGTAAAAAGCAACTCAACACCTGCAAATAAAAAACGTGAAAAGGGGGCTGATTACATCCTTGTCTAAATAAACCCACTAAAAGTGTTTTAAAAATACAATGAAACTTCTTTATAGCTTCAAAATCCAGCTCAGGTACCCTGGTTTGGAGCTGTCACAAGGAAAAGTTCCTGAGAAGGAACCATTGCTTTATGAGCATTTAATTTCATTAAATGGGAATCCTTTATGCGACAGGTAAGTGTTTAGGAAAGCTCTAGATCTAATCATATAATGAAGTTTCACTGTACTTAAAATTTCTTCAACCGTACCCAAAATGTTGCCTTTTGTAATGTATTGAATTTATTTATATTACATGCTTAATTCAACTGGAATTAATTTGGGGAACATTATGATTCATCTTTTCTAATTGTAGAGGCTGGGATTTTCCAATGTAATTTCTCCAGCATCTATTTAAATATTCGCCTATTATTTAAGAAGAATTATAGGAGCCTTAATAAGATAAAAAGAAAATGCCATAGGTTTTACTCAGATATCTCAGTACTCAAACCGAGAGCTATGTCAGCCCCCACCAATCATCTGAGATATATGGGGGAGCTCACTTCATTGTGTTTTCACCACACCCACTTTCAGCTGGCCCCACTGAGAGGTGACTGATTGCTGCTGCCTCTGAGGTTGGGATCCCATGGCTGAAATAAGTCAAAGGATATTCATTCTAACAGTGATCTTCTACTTCTGGGCCAAGAGGAGTAAGTCACATAACAAATGCAACTCTACTAGGAACAAGTCTACAGTGAAAACGTTATGTCTAAGGGCTTCTTATGTCCAACTCCATTCTATTTCAAGGTCTTATATTTAACAGGGTGGGGGTTCCCATTTATCCTAAGATAATTTCTTCTATTTCATGAAACAAATTACTAGCTTCTGTCAAAGGACAGGACTTCCCCTTGTGATCATTTAATGCAAATTAACGCATTTGCTAAAAAAAAGAAACCTCTCAGGATAGAGGGTTAAGTGGGAGTTACTATGATGAGACTAGATTAAAATTTCCAGTTGCCATTTTTATTACGCATAGGGAGAAACCAGTTTTAATTTTTTCCTCAACTTTCCATAGAATCTTGGAAGCCTTACCATGACTTAGCTTCCCCACCTAAAAAGGACACACAACAAAAATGTACACCCACAGTCTTCAAGTGCAAATGATTAATAAATTAATTTCACTAAGTTCTGCAAAATATAAAGTGCATACAAATGCTATGCAATTATAACACTCATTCTTGAAACAGTATTACTGCTGTTTGCAATACTGAGCTATAAAAATATATGGTTCCAACAGAAAACTGAGATTTTTTAAATGCTAATAATTCTCAAAAGGAAAGAAAATGACAATCGGGGTGGAAAATGACTCTCTCCGGGCACAGCATTCATTGTTCGGCTGTCTAGCCAAGGCAGTCATTATACAGATATACTACTTGAAGAAAAATAATATCATGTACTCTAAAGATGATTCTTGAGGGGGGAAAAAACAGCTCGATATACAAAACCAGCTGAAAAGTAAAGATGTATCCTCTGAAAGCAGGTTGAATATGTTAATCTAGTGAAAAGAATGGTCCTTCATGTTTTGGCAAAGTCTTTTCCAGCCCAGAGTAAACATGAAATGAGCAGGCCGGAGTAAACTGGCTTCACAGTGTACAAAGCAGTTCACAGGGATGTTGCCACAGCAAAGTAAGCGGACATACATTTGAGGTCATTTGCATGAGTCAAACTTTGCAATGAGTAACTCACCTAGGAAGATATAAATTATTTATATAATGCTTTGCAAAGGAAGTGATCTACTAAAGTTGTACTAGTTACATTCAAAAGAAAGTAGTTCTACATGGTTTGTTCATTATAGACAAATCTATTCACAGTATGTGCAACTACATGACATGTGAAATCATATGGCAAAAGGAAATGAATTAACGCAGAACATGGGAAAATATCCCTCACATGTTTTTAAATGCCCTGCAATTTTCACATTCAAAATTTTATGCATCTAAATCTAAAAAAATATTATATGGAATACTCTTAAATTACACAAACTGATAATTTACTGGATTTTTTACTCTAATAGGAGCAAATTACCACATACTTGAACAAAGTTAAAATAGTTACTATTTCTTTATAATAAATTTGATGTATAATTTACTTTACTTGTGCTTTTTGCACCAATTTATAAATACATTATATGCAACACACAACCGATTTGGACACCAACATTAACAATTAAATTCAAAATAGCAAATACTTACCATATAAAATAAACAGCAAATACATTTTTTATGAAAACCAGAGCTTTCTGAACTGGAGGCCAAATTCTCTGGAAACCATGTCAAGTTTGAGCACTGTGGAATCTCATGCCAGCTGCGAGATTCTTTTTCTCAAGTTGGCATAAGATTCAGGAGAACCAAAACTGGACACAGTCATTTTTGCCAAATCTGGCAATAAATAATTGGACAATTCCACCATGGTTTGTTGGGGCCTTTAGAATTTCCATGTCGTACCTTCACAGAGACTCTGGTCAGCAACCTTGCTACTGAAAACAAACTTGAGTACAGCTACTTCCAGCAGGCTTCCACCTTCTTAGGGCATCACTCACAGAAGCCCTGGGTTAAGTTCTTGGTCTAAGAAGTTTAAGTACTAAGCAACAATCTGTTTCAGCACCTTTTGACCACAACAAAAGCAAAGAATAACCCTATATAAATAAGAACGAAGTTTATAAAGTGCTTATGAAGTTACAAATATTTCAAATTAGAGTGATGTGAATAAGTGTCCATTTCACCATCAAAGGTAAATGCAGAATAAATGGGTCACTTTTCTGTCAAGACCTGACATGACTTTCAAATCAGTAGTTTGGTCCGGCACAGTTTGAAAAGAAAAAAAAACTTCATTAATGAATATATAAATATATTATATTTACCATAATTCATTCTTTCTATGAGATTCAAAAAAAGCACCAATATCAAAAAGTCTGCTACCAAACTTTCTCTGGAGTAGGCCCGCATGATCCACATTTTAAAACTTATTTTAAAGCTGAAAGCAACAAGACAAAACCACACCTCCTCCTTTGTTTTTTGTTTAAACACCTTTGTACAAGTGTAGCATAAAACATAAAGAAACTTCAAAGAATTGAAATAACAAAGGGACATTTCTAAAGATGACTAATGCATTAAATTTGATTTCTGCTTTTCAGTGCAAACATAAAACTTCATGTCTTGTCCTCTTCCAGATTCAGAAGTGTGAAGGGTGTCCATAGGGAGTCACTCCTTGCTGTGGCTGGTTACCTAAGAAGAAAAAGAAATACAAATAAAATTGTAGATGCAAAATTATGCCACAGATAGATGCCACCCCCTTGTCACTTCTCAGTAACAGCCTGACTGACTGGCCAGGAGCACAGCGCTGGCCAGGGGCCCCCCAGTGGCAGAGCGTAAACACTGCAGCTGAATTCATTTCTCAGGGAGCCCAGCTCACCTGAGTCCCACACCTGCCAGCCCAAGGTTCTGCCAGCACAAGGCTCAGACGAGGGTAATTGGTTTCTATCTCTGAACTGAGAAACAACTCAATACTAACTTACAAAAGGACTCTAAGTATCACTAAACATTGAAAGTGCTCAAGATTTTTATAAAAACACACCAATTGTTCTGCTTTAACATGGATATTATGAGATGAGAAAAGTAGCTTGAAAAAGTAGTAGGTACAAAGAAAGAAACAGGATGAGAATAGCCACTGCTCACACAACTCTTGTGGGACTGTTCAATACAGAGGCCCATTCTCAAGGTGTGATAGAAAAGGAACCCTCTGGAGGGTGCAGTGGGCAGCTCAGCTTAGCTGTCATTATTCAACCAAGGAGGCGGCAGAGTGTGCACCCGCCTTCGGAGAGACTTCGGAGCACTGTGGGCTCGGTTCCAGACCAAGCAATAAAGCGAGTCATAACCTTTTTCGGTGGAGGCTCTTGCCTTCAGTTTGTCAACCTGTGAAGCCCAGTAAAGCTCAGCGCAAGGAAACGGGGCAGGCCTGTGTGGTGATGCAGCAGCTCCGGGAAGAGCCGTCGGAGCTCTGCCCCAGCTTGTCCCTTGCTGTCAGCTGAAGAATGTTGGGCAGACGAGTCATGACCTTATGCTTTAGCTGTTTTCTCGTCTATAACTGGAACAGTGACAATATCTAACCTCATGGGGTGGTTTAGGAATTAAGTGAATTGATACATGTGAAGTCACAGTGTGCCTGGGTCCAAGAAAGTGCTCCGTAAAGGATGGCTGGTTGGGGGGCGAGGGCATAGATGGGATAAATGGTGATGGGAAAAATAATTTTTTTTTTAAAGCTGCATTTCATGAGCTCTGGGAAACTGGAAACAAGAGGAGATGTGCTCCCTAAATAGGTACTACTATATGAAAATCACTGGTACATATTTCTAAACATTGGAAAAAATCTAAAACACACACATTGGTCTTGTCCTTAAAATTATGTTGTCTATTTAGCCATGTAAAAATATCACCACCAGAATTAACGGAGCAATGACATTTTAACCACATGTCTGTTGAGTAGACCACACCTATTAAATAGCAACTGGAAAAGAGGATTGATTTACATAATTTAACTGAAATTAAATGAGGCTATAAGAGGAAAATATTTTTAAAGGGGAAAAAAGGTCTTGGTTATGTCCCGGGAAAGACACCAGGTACAGGAGGGGTATCTCCCCTGCAGGGAATCAGCAGCCAGGCCGAAAAGCCAGATGAAACCAAGCTGCCCGCCCTCAGTTGGAAACCGGCCCCTTCCTTGCAGCACCCTACCGGTCGCAGGGGCAGGGCTGCTCAGGACAGGCTGCTCAACTCTGCACCCCAGAAGCATGTACCCTGGAACCAGGAGAACCTGCTCCTCTCCTCACTCTATGGATGAGAACCACATGATCCAGATAACGGCGGCAGAGCTGGCACCAGATTTAGGTCCCCTGGCTTCCAGGCCAATACTCTGCCCCAGAGGGCTGGCTCCCGTTGCTAACAAATTTCCTGCGCCTGCTGCCAACACAGGGTGATAGAGTCACGGAGCTCCCCGCTGGCGTCCACACGAGGGAGCTGAATGGGTGAGTGGTATTCACTCTAGAGGCAGCACCATTAAAAATATCAGCCCACACAGCAGGCGGGACCACCTCGCCGCCTGTGGTGGTACAGGTCTGATGTGTCTGAGTTGTTGTCAGGAAGGGTAGGATGGTGCAGTGGTGAAAACAGCCACTGCCCTGTGACCAGGATACAGGTCTAATGCTGGCTTCCCTCTGTCTATGACTTTGGGGAGGTCACCTAACCTTCATCAGTACACGTGAGGACATCCACTGAGTTGCTCTCTAAACCTTCCAACTTTATAAGAAGGGCACCTGCAGCTCCACAGGGGTCCCCAAAAGAAAAGAAATATTTCCAGGTTCAGCTGAAAGCAGCAGGAAAACCTCTTCACTGAACTTAAAAAAACAAAACAAAAAAACAAAAAAACAAAAAACAACACAAAAAAGATTGGGGTTTTTCTAGGAAAAGTAGCATTCAAACCAAAACAAATTAAAAAAGCACCTTAACACCGTAGACCCGTGGTCAGCAAACTGAGGCTCTCGAGCCACATGCGGCTCTTTGGCCCCTTGAGTGTGGCTCTTCCTAAGCCTTAGGAGTACCCTAATTAAGTTAATAACAATGTACCTACTTATATAGTTTAAGTTTAAAAAATTTGGCTCTCAAAAGAAATTTCAATCGTTGTACTATTGATATTTGGCTCTGTTGACTAATGAGTTTGCCGACCACTGCCGTAGACTAAACAAAGATGAAGTGGTATCAAGGAAGACAGTGCAGTTTTTGAGGAGCCCTTGTGTTTTGCTTGTGTGCTTGTTTTCAGTTTCCCAGGAACCATCTGTCCTGGCAAGAGGGGTACTTACTGGAGAGCTGCTTCTGGAGCTGCCGCACCAGGGCAGCCGTCTGCTGCTGCTGCTGTGTCTGCTGCAAGCCTTGCCTGGGAAACTGCAATGTGACAGGAGAAAGAGGGCGTCAGCCCGGGTGCCCAACACAGACACAGAGACTGACTCCCAGGGTCAGATAGTCTTCAACTACTCCAGGACAAAGGTGCCAGGCCAGAGTGTGTTCCTTTATTTTCACCTCCATCTTGGCCTCCATCTGGTGACCATCTGAAGTGCCCAATCCACTTAAAAGTCCTCTCCATGTGGTTACTTGGCATTTATTTGAAGAGTTCTGATGAAGGAGCCCATACTCCAGCAGTGACCCAGTGACTCAAATGTCCTTCTTATCTCTCCCTTCATCAGCTGGCTTATTTTAGTGTCACCATATTAGAAAACATTTTCATTGGCAAAATGCAAGCTTTCGGTCGGGGGATCTGTTCAAGCACCATAGGCCCTGCCTGCCCTGCATGAACGGCAGGGATGTGCTGAGGCAGAGCAGGCCCCAGGTCCGGACTCTCACGACTGAGCCTCCCACTGGAGGAGGAGAAAGGTCCACTACTCTCCCCGGTGGCTGGGCTGGGCGGGGGCACCAAGGGCGCAAACTCTGAGGAGGTGCTCACTTCCAGGGTCGTGCAAGTGCAGGCACAGATGAGGGCCCATATGCCCGGGTTCTGTCCATTAAGTTGATACAAAAAATTGTGGTGGTTCTTCTAGGAAAAAAAAACTGTCCGGTAGAAGTGAAATCACTTTAGACTAAAATCACTGGTAGTGCTGATTTACTTTTCCCTTAACCTTTAAATTTCAGACTGTTGAGCTTTTCTTCCTTTTCGTGCCTGCCTTCTCTCCCTCTCCCCCTTCCCTCCACCTGGCCTTTTACTACTGTGACAGAGGACATGTTCTTCTGCAAGGCCATCTTGACATGTACACATCAGAATTGTGCAGGCTATTTCTCACTCACCTCCACAGGCCACGCCCCACCCCATGGGGGCCTGTCACCAGCCTCCTGGATGGAGTGTGGCCAGGCTGGCCCCTTGCCTCTTACGTCTAGATGGGGAGGCGCAGCCCCCGGAGACTGCAGGGCAGGAGCAGGTATAGTTGGAAGGGAGCAGAGTCCAATTTTGTTTTTGCCAATTTCCTTCAGGACAAGTCTCTGCTGGTGGAACACATCTCTCTCTGGGAAGGCCACAGCTCCTGCCAGCAGCCCTCTCCTTTTCTCTCCTTCTTGTGCCATGGCCACAGAGCCCGGGGGTGTAACTGCTTCTGGCCTGGGGCCCTTTGTCATGCCTGGTTTCCCTTAACCTACCCATACCACTGTAAACAGTCTTTTTAAAAAAACTCAATTACCCAGTATGAGTGAAACATATATTTCCTCCTCAGAGCTTGCTGCTATGGCTAAAAATAGCCCAGGATTATATTTAAGGTTGCCCGATTTAGCAAATGAAAATATGGAACACCCAGCTAAATGTCAATTTCAGATAAACAACACTTTTATTTTTTATTTTTTTTTTTAGTTCTAAGTATGTCCCAAGTACTGCATGGGGCACATATCGCATTTAGTGTATGCCCCATACAATATTTGGAACATAATTCTAGAGTTATTCATTGTTTACCTAAAGCTGAAATTAATTTATCTGGCAACCCTAATTACAGGGCATCACTGGGTTGATTCTGTTAAAGCTGAATATTTCGCACAACACCTGATCCACCTGTTTCTCTCACACTGGACTGTGAGTGACTTAAAGACTTGGGCTTATCTGTTAATGTATCCCTAGTATCCAGCAGTGCCAGGCACACCGTAGGTGCTCAGAAAAAATGGACAGAATGACTAACCGTGAAGTGCCTTCAATTTCCAAACCTGCCTCGTAACAAGAAAGGTGCACCTCCACCCATGTTACTATTTCCCCCAATACATGGAAGGAAAAGAGCAGCTTGCCACTTTCTCCCACTGCCCAAATGAAGAGGGGAAAAGAAAACAAAAATCCATCTTTCAGTGATGCAAAAACGTTCATAAAATATGAAGTAAGTTCTTTTCTATTCAGTGGTTTCTATGATTATTTGGAAATAGACCCTATTTCTTTAACAAAAGCTAATATGGTTCTATGTATGAGGCAGTGTTCTAGACAGCACCTGTATACATGAGCCCAGCGAGCCCAGCTAACCCTGAAAGGATAATACCACCCTCAGTCTCTCACACAAACCCTGGGCATGTGTGTTATGAAATTCAGTACGCATATGATTTACTATGAAACATTCATAATACATAGACCAAGCAAGATATAGGACAGTACTCCATAATCAAATATTTTAAATCTCTGCAGCAAAACACACAAACAGTCATATCAGATAAAACAAATAAAAAGAGCTTCACATCTGAGGTCAGCTTTTATTACCAAATTAATCAGGTCAGGCTTCGCTGTTCAATGAGTTATAAATAAAATTTCCATTCTCACAGGTGTCTGAATTTTGGGAATGAATATAAGAAATTGTGAAGCTTTTTTTTTTTACAGATGGAAGAAGTGGAGGCTTTGAGGGGTGAAGTCAGTCCATGATCCCTGTAAATTTTGGGGCTGGAATTCAGACTCATCTTTCTGAGTCCAGAGCTCATGATCCTAACCACAATCTAGTGCTGTCCTTAATTGGAATATTAGCTTCCAAATATTAATTTATTTGAATATAATCACAGATTCTAAATGGTCGGCTGCAAAGATGTCTAATCTTATTAGCTGATTAAGGTACACAACACATAGATATCTAACATTTGTTCATTCAACACTCAGTGCCTTCTCTACGTTCATTTAAAGTCTGCTTCAAGTAGAGTATTTCTTAGAATGAAACACTGTAATGATCTCCTCAGATTTTTTTATTTTGAGCCAAGGCAGTAACTAGGTCCCTGAGAAGCTAGTGTTTGTGCACAAGCACCCAGGAACACATGCAGGTGCATATGTATGTTGGAGAATGGTGGGTGGCCCACTGGGTGACCTTAAGAGATAATATCCCTGGGGGGGACCCCAAGACACTGTTGGGATGTCTACAAGGTCAAAACCATTTTCATAACACTAAGAAATTATTTGCTTTTTCACTCATTTTTTCATGAGTGTACTATGCAGTTTTCCAGAGAATAATAATGTGTGATACTGCAACAAAATGAATGTCTTTTTAACCCAGACATTGAAGTTTTCAAAACTGTAAAACAGTGTCATTCTCATTAATTTTTAGTTTGAAATATACACCCATTTTTCATTAAAAATGTTATTTCTTTTCATATGTAATTTTATTTTAGAATTACGAAATATTTTTAATATTTGTTTTAATTTCTAGTAAAGTAAATACCGATAGACACAAAAGCTTTTGCATGTGAAGGGCCACAGCTTTTGCTTGTGACGGGTTCAGAGGCCAAGAGCACTGAGAGCAGCAGGGGAAATCCATGGGATGATCTATCATCTCCAGTACTCTCAGCTATAGTGCTTCACTACATTCCTCTCAAGGCCACCTGACACTAAATGCAACTGGCTTTAACTTGTATATGTACATGAGCACGCAAGAGATTGCATGTGCAATTTTCTTGGGAAAAGAAAGAGTGCCACCAACTCCCCACAGAAATACCATTACTGAGCATTTCAAATCAAGTCACTGAATGTCTCCTGCGAAGGCTGAGCCCTGCACATGGCAGAGGAGCATAAAACCAACAGGGGAAATTTAAGGAGTCACCCTCTTGGACTCCTCCCCAGACTTCCTGAATTAGAATTTCGGGGGCTGAAAACCCGTATTTTGTAAATGATCCCTCCGGTGATCTGATGCTTGGCTAGATTTTGGAGTCATGCTTGTAGTGAGAGTTGGAACTTTAAATTGACCAAAAATAGGTCAGAAAACAGGTCAACTGAGGTCCTACAATTGCCATCTGTGTATGTTTGATCTTCCTGCTGCAATGTAATGAACAAACAGGGAAAGGTCTCTCTGAACTCCATCCATGCAGGAGCTGATGGTTTCTCCCACCTGTCCCTTTGCAGATGTTAATCCTCCCAGAACATCCTCCCTTTCATCCTGTCCTGCACCCTCAAAAAGACCCCAGCCTTGAACAGGCTCCAGCTGCCAGCCACGCCCTCAGGCATCTGCTGAGTGAATCAGTGCTCTTGTGCCTGGGCACTGTGATGCCCTTATTAGCAACAAGGCAGCTGCCTCTCCCCCGCCCGCACACTCTGAGGAGGGGTGGGAGCTGTGCTATGTTCCCACTGCAACCACAGACAGAGCACAGGCTTCATGATCTCCGTCAAGTGGAACAGGTCAACAAAGCATAGTCACTCTCCAGTAAACACATTCTCTGCTGAACTAAAAGAATATATTAAGAAGTATTTTGGCCTGGCTGAGTGTCTCAGTTGGTTGGAGTGTACTCCCATACACCAAAAGGTTGTGGGTTTGATCCCAGTCAAGTCACATGTGGGAGGCAACCCATCAGTTCCTCACATTGATGTTGTTTTTCTCTCTCTCTCATTCTCTCCCTCTCTCTAAAAATCAAGTAAAAAAAAAAAAAAAAGTACCCTGTTTTGTAATTTGACTGAAAAGTATCTGTTGGGATTGGCTCCAATCAAGGAAGAACTATACATTTTCTACTAACTTATTTAATGATGCAAGTGTCAAAAGAACCACAATTCACTGATTCACTTATTCTCATCCCTAACTGTGAACATTTGTAATAAATAAACTTGTACTACTGAGAAAAAAAGATTTTGACACTTCACATATGCAAGTAGAGAATTGATAGTATCAGTTTCAAAGATGATTTTTGTATTTAAAGTTTCTGGCTTAAATATCTAATGGTGCAGATTTTGAACTTTATAAGAACAAATTTGGTTTAAAAAGTAAGAACTTGCTCTAGTTTTGTGACCTTGTGTACTTTTTAAATAAAATTAAGAAAGTAGTTTTCTGCAATAAATAAATAAATAAATAAATAAATTAAATTAAATAAAAATAAAGCAAAAAAACAAAAACAAAACACAAAAACACAAAAACACCAAAAACATATCCTTGGGTGTAAAATTAAATAAAAATAAAGCAAAAAACAAAAAA